TTTTCTATTTAAGGATATATATGTCTGATTTTGTTGACCTGTACACATAAATTAACAATAAAATAGAACTTCATAAAAAGCAATAACGTTTTCTCTATAAGCATACGTAAATCACTAAAGGTGTAATTGAATCTAACTCATGATGACCAGTAATACATTTTACATTAGATAAAGATAACCAACGTTTTTGTTTAAGCCTAGTTCAGCATCGCTGAGAACTAGCTTTCCTTAAAACTAAAGGTTGCAATGAAAGTAAGTTCAATCAGTTTGAGAGTTTTTTCTCTGGTTAAAAATTCTGAACTAAATCAACAACAATGAAAAATTATATCAAAGCTGCTTATGTGAACTCGTGACATTTTGTTGAATTCATTCATAATCGCAGGGTTAACGAAGAAGTTTTTCATTTTTTAAAAATATTCTTATCATTTCTTGGTTTATAACAAAAATAATTTTTAAAAAAGGTGAAACAAAATCGCATTCCCGTATTATTTCATGATAAGTTGCCCCCCAGTAGCACAGCGGTATGTCTGCGGACTTACAACGCTAGAATCCGGGTTTCGATACCCGTGTTGGGCAAAGCACAGATAGCCCATTGTGTAGCTTTGTGCTTAATTACAAACAAACATTATAAGTTAAACATCTAAAAAATGATACACACCTCTTAAAACTTTAAAAATGGAGTTCTAAGTTAGTTGTTAAACAAAATGTGCACCAAACCTGTTTCTTAAAATTATTTTACCTTTTGTTTTAGGAACACGACATTCATACACTCTATTTTATCACTTTGGATATGCAGAAGGTTGCAGGGAATATATGGTGACAATTTCCATATATAGTCTCATTGTTCTTATGCAAATGTCACCTAAACAAGATCCCTTTTGGAAGAGTGACATTACAGCACTTTCTGACACAAAGTTTTCCTATTTCGCAAGTATCAAAGTATGTAAGATGTGAAGTTTAAGATTATGAAATAAATAGGCATCTGTAGTGTAGATCCATGAAGAAATACCAATCCTGTACGGAGTGGGTGCCATTAGAACATCCAAGTCAATAAAGCAGTTTCTCCGCATGATGCCATTTGCAGGGATGCTCCTTTGGGTTGCTCAAACGAGCCCAAGGAAATCATTATCCACTCGCAGTCGATGGGCTTTGGGAAACATGTAAACAGAAGGGACACAATATTGACCTCAGTGAATTGCGCAAAAAACCTCCTCCGGTGAAATTGCACAGAAGAGCAATAGTCTATAATTATAGCCACCGTATTGTTAGATGAAAGGTCTTTAAGACCAAAACATTTATCCTTATATTGTTACTATACTTTGTTAGTTCCTAATATTCTGTCTAACATTCAACCTATCTGGATAATGTGCTTAGTCCTAATTTGGCTACAAAAGAACTTATTTATTTATATAGATGAAGGAAGACTTATTCGCTGTGATCATGTAAGAGCCATCGATTATTATTATCTTGAAGCTTTAAGAAATAAAAAATGTACACCAGTAGGGATTGCATGTAAGTGTTGGAACGATTTTATCAGAGGGAGATGTGCTGATTGTGGTGAAGACAATAGTAAATGCGTCAAACTGGGACCCCAGGCAGAAGAGTATCTGAAATACAAAGATGACAACAAAAGTCAGAAGCTATTCCTGAAGACAGCATCTAACAAACCATTCTGTTGCATGTGTTTTATTTGCTAAGTACTGAAACTTAACAAGAAATTTGTTTGTTCAGTTGCTTATAATGGGTGCGAGTATAATTTTATCTACTGTAAGCATTAATTTACCTGAATCTAGCATTGGCATATCTGTTTGCTATTTTACAGTAAGATTATCTTATACAGTTAAACATTAAACATTTGTGTCAGTGCTATATAATGTAGCTAACGTACGTACTGCAACTCTTCTATAGCCTGGAAAAAGAATGAGACAACCAGGACTGGAACCTGAGTTTATGGCTTGACTGTCTCCCTTGCTTTTATTCCCAAATTTTCTGTTCGTAAGATAACATTTTTTTCTCAAAATATGATACAGATTATCTAATGGAACGGATTTTTGCAAAATAGTATAATGTTTCTATGGATGTTAAAAAATTCAATATTATGTGATCTCTAAAGCTGTGGATTGAGGAGTTCGAACTGAATTACTCCTTTGATGTCCCACCAAATGCAAAGCATCACTTTCTGCGGATGGAGTCCAGGTTTTGGGGCCTGAAGTGGTTTTTGTCTAGGTCTGAGCCATTGTTTTTGGCGTTTAATATTCGCATAGAGAATCCATTTTTCATCACCGGTGACAATTCTATCCAAAAATGGTTCACGCGCATTACGCGCCAGAAGAGACGAAGCAACGTTCACACATTGGAAAATAATCACATCATCGGAGAATTCGTGAAGCACCCAAACATCTTCTTTATGGAGTTTTCCCATATTCCTCAGATGTTTACGTATTGTTTCATGAGAGACATGCAATTTCAGGGCCATTCCACGAGGATGTTGCCTTGGGTTAGACTCAACAAGCGTGCGTCTTCAGAGCATCAATATCAATTCCAACATGTCGGCCCTGCCATCACAGTTTTTAAGGCTGAAGTCACCTGAACGTAATTTGTTGAACCATCGTTGACACTTACGAACGTTCAAAATATTTCCATAAACTTCTTTGATATTCTTTGTAAATACAGAGGCGCTGTTTCCCTTCTTATATTCAAACAGCATCACATTACAAATGTGTGTTTCGTCGTGAGCCATCACTATAAGAGATTAGAGTATACTAAAACTTTACACATTATATAGGCTACACTAACGTGACGTTTAGGCGGTTCGTTTAACTGTTATAGTTGATGGTTGATGAAAGTGTCCCAAAATGCGACATTAATTTATTGACGACCTAATATAATAGTACTAGCTGTTGCACCCGTTCAATTCACGGGGAAGACATAAGGGGGCAAATTATTAATCTAATCTTAATTATGTAGGATATAAACAAACTATTTTTTTATTTCTGAGTTTTATTTTATGTCTAAAAACAAATTCTAAAACACGCAGTTTGTCATGAAACTTTACAAAACAAGAACAATTATAAAGAAGAACGCCACTCAGACAAACAAACAAACGAAACGGTAGTCATATAATTATAATACTAGAATACCATAAACTTATTAAAATATATTAATGACTGTTTTTCTTTATTTATAAAAATATTGATTTTACATCTATTGTATCTACCGATGTACGTTTATGTGTATAACAATTTCCAGAGATTTTGACGTTGGAAACATTGTGGGTTGTATTTGTATTTAAGTTTCTATAACAGCAGAAAGAATGGGAAATTAGAGTGAAGATATTTGTAGTACATAAACAAACCAGCTATAATTAGTTTTATGTATGTGCGTGAAAACATTCATATATATATATCAAAAAATGAAATCGATATCTTACTTCATTAATACAATAACAAAACAAAATTTATTATGCTTTTAAAAAAAATACATTTACATTTATTTTAGGAATGGGAGTTTAAAACCAGGAAAAAAGTTGAAATATCTCATTACCTCGAGAAAAAACGTTGGGTAAATTGATTCCTTACAAGTAATATGGAACATTCCTAGCTAACTAAGTATAATCAGCATAATTAAATCCTATACAGTTCATATAAACGTTATAACTGATTATAAAAATATTTCATAATTTAAGTGGTGTTATGAGTCATTAAGCAAACAAACAGTAAGATCGGAAATTATGAAAAAGGAAATGTCATTATTCTGTAAATCATACAAAAAGTTCAATGTAACTTTTGTGAATACGATAAATTGGTTAATAAAATATTCAAGTTTCTTTATAATTTATTTAATTGTTAATATTATGATGTGTATTGTATAACTTTGTCATGATTTAATGTGTCTTCTAGAGGGCACCAGTTGAAATATGCAGAGTTCTGTAGAAACCCTACCCAGTTGTGTGACAGTAATCAATAATTTTGTATAAAAATGCACCAGATGTTTACTGCTTAATTTGGCAATAGCTTGGCTGTAAATGCTACTACAGGCTATTTTGTTTTATGAATAAATTGTTGTTCATGCCAAATTTGCGACATTTCTGTGTTTAATTATTTCCTGTTTTGCAACTTTATGTAGAGAATAAAACAAAATTACTAAGATAACATAATAAAGGTTTACTTTTATATTATACTACGTCTTAAGAATCTCCGGTAAGTTCAGGTATTGTAATTCCTGGATTAAGTTCAAAATTATTAAGGCTAAGATATGTCACAACTATTTTGATGCATTCGACACGCACCTACGATGGGGAGGGCTCTCACGAGTTTTCGTTTCTCGTGTTTCTCAAACAGAACAATGTTGTAAAGAACTGACTTCACTAAGAGCAAAGGTAGATGATATTCACATCGCATCTTCAGGCACAGCAGTAATGTTGCAAACAAGTCCACTTATTAATGTTAGCATGCCACAAGTTAGTCAACGACAAGCCCAACGTACAAATGCAAAATATAGTTCCGTGACAGATTACTTAAGTAAACAGTAACCATTCCTTTTCTTTACCACATTATCAGTAACCTTTTCTCCTGATTTGATCTATGCTTAAATCAAGGAGCATCAATTCAGAAACTTATGCCATCAAAACTCACACAAATGTTTTCTATCTCTAATATCACACAGATTTTTATAGGGAAGACTTGCCATTTTCTGATATTTTTACTGAAGAACTTCATCGATGGAAGACAAGATGGTTTT